TTATTATTATTATTATTATTATTATTATTATTATTATTATTATTATTATTATTATTATTATTATTATTATTATTATTATTATTATTATTATTATTATTATTATTATTATTATTATTATTATTATTATTATTATTATTATTATTATTATTATTATTATTATTATTATTATTATTATTATTATTATTATTATTATTATTATTATTATTATTATTATTATTATTATTATTATTATTATTATTATTATTATTATTATTATTATTATTATTATTATTATTATTATTATTATTATTATTATTATTATTATTATTATTATTATTATTATTATTATTATTATTATTATTATTATTATTATTATTATTATTATTATTATTATTATTATTATTATTATTATTATTATTATTATTATTATTATTATTATTATTATTATTATTATTATTATTATTATTATTATTATTATTATTATTATTATTATTATTATTATTATTATTATTATTATTATTATTATTATTATTATNCCAATGTGCCCCCAACTTACTTTCTGTTTTAGAGGGGTATTTGAGTCAACTTTTTAGATGCAAAAGACAGAAAATGTTAAGGTTCAATGTTAGGAGAAAAACTTCCCATTGCAGACGGGGGCTTACACAAAATTTGGGCCAATCGGTTCAGCCGTCTTGGCGTTTATTGGTTACAGACAGACAGAAGTGCCATTGTAAATCAAACATGGAGCTCAATAAATGACTAAGGTACAGGGTGTCCCACGAAACATGACATTTAATAAATCGTTATTTTAAGTTAAACAAATCTTTTGTTTCATTAAATTTACTTTGAAAGTAGTTTTCATATAGCATGACTCCCATATAATATTTTTATTGATCTTTGTTATCAAACAACTTAACAAATTATGGAAAAAGACATTTTTAACTATTCACCAACTGTCATGTTTCGTGGGACACCCTGTACGTTTGTGTGTAAGATAAATGTCATGGTCTATATTTTACAAGTGTTTTTATATAATAAAAGATCAGTATATGGCCTAAGAATATTAGCAACTATTTTAATATTTGGTTTATTTTGCTTTCTAAAATTTCTAGTTCAAAACTTGGATAACATAAATGAAGAAGATGAGCGAATGAAAAAAAATAATTAAAACAGAATTCTTTTCTATTTCTTGTATAACCTAATTTGTAAAAATCAATAAAACACAAAATGTAAAAACAAATTTATTGACTATCTTCCATACAATCGGGCTCCACGAATCCAGGGCTTTTCTTCCACAAAACTTACACAGTTATCAAATCTTGTTTTACAACAACTCTGAAAAAATACACATCTTAAAATAACAAGGATTATGAATGTCACTTTTAAAATTTAATATATTTTTCTGCAATGAGAATGAGAATAAGAATAAGTACCAGAGAAGGCACCTATAGGCAGGCAGCTATAATGCTAAAATGAAACTGCTATCTTGTGTTAATTGGTGCTCCTTGATTTTACAGGTTTTACATAGAACGCCTTGGATAAAGTACTGTCCCAAGCATATGTATAATGGGTGTTTTAAAAAAAATCACACTTTTTCACTCAATTTTTCTGTGGTTAACAATTTTTAATATTTCTCGCAATTTTTAATATTGTTAGGGAGCAAAACAAGAATATGATCTTTTTCTCACGGATTGTTATAGCTGTTGCAAATCAGATCAGCAACACACACTTGTATGCAGATTCCATTAGCGCCTGATCCAATCAGGGTTAAGTCATGTTTGTTGTCTATTCTGAACCAATAGAGATTGTATGGCGGTAACATCTATGTTTCTATTTATCTCATTATTATCCAATTAGAGATATGAATCCTTTAATCGGTGCTAACAGTAAATAGAAATACTAACTTCTACTGAAACTATAGTTAACATACAGTTGTCAACAATTAACTATAGGCTCCGTGTAAAGTCGTCTTTATCTTAAGTCCCCCTCTCAGAGACACCAAATCAAAAAATTTTAACCCCCTTTGTTCTTTGTTCTCCCTGTCGGAGTCGTAAACAACCTCGCATTGTTAATCCATTTTCAAAAAGTTAAACAAAGAATATTTTCATATAAAGAATTAGTGGCTTTTGTTAATAATTAATTGTCATTTTATTTCAGAAGTTTAAAACGTCTTTTAGTACTGTCCAACTATTGTTAACCCCTTTGTCTTCAGCCATTAGATCGTAAGATTTTTTTTCTTTATAAACATTCATTAAAACATTTTGTACACATTATCATCTATGTAATTTTTTCAGGAAATAAAGAGAATTTTTTGTTATCGATTTTGGAGACAGGGGTTCATTCTGTTGTGTGTCTGCTGCGGTAATCGGGATATATTGTTGGGAAATATATATCCTTCAATAACTGATTCCAGCGGGCCTTTTATCATTCCATCTTGAGAATTTCGGGTTCTATCCGTCAACAACAGTATATAATGAAGTTTATAATATTAGAGATATGAATCCTTTAATCAGCGCTAACAGTAAATGGAAATATTTACTTCTACTGAAACTATAGTGAACATACAGCATATAATAAAAGCCAGGCCTCAGAAATTTTTTTTAAAAATTTTTCACAAACCTTTTCATCTAGAAGATCAGCTCCAACTAGTTTGCAGCATCGGAAGAAATCATGATGACAGTATCCTCTAAGAAAAAAGTACTGTTGTAAATCGGGCATTGTCACCTTTGCATGGAGAGTCACTTGAATTTACACTTACAGGGTCCTGTTAATTACTATGTACATGAAATATGATTTATGACTGTACCTGTTGCTTGCCCTTGTACCCCAAGCAGAGTACATACCAAGCTCAAAACCTGGACATTCAGGTTCACAGCTACCCTTACTAATCTCCCTTCGGTACAAAACTCTTTATATCAAATGGTGTTGGGTATTTTCCCGAAGACGTTTTCCCAAGGGTGACTTCCCAAGTGGTAACTTCCAACAGGTTAGGTTAGGAGTTCTGAGGCTTCGCAGGCTGCACTGAGTGTCTGAGCGCTGCCACTAGGTTGGGCTAGTGGGCTGAGCGCTGCTGCTAGAACAGGATAGGGGCTGAGTGCTGCATGCTAGAACAGGACAGGGGCCGAGTGCTTCATGCTAGGACAGACTTGAGAAGTTGTCACTTGGGAAATTTCCAATTGGGTACATACACTTAGAAAACGAAACCTTGAACTTTGAAAAAAGTAATTCTCTGGTTGTTAATGTCCCATCATAACTCATAAATTCCTTGACCTATTTGTCTCAGTTCTAGATAGGAGAACTCGGAAGAGCACTGAAATGTTCTCCATTTGGTTTAAAAATAGTAAATTGAGAGTATACACATCTTGCAATAACTGCCTTAAAGTTGGGACGGTACTTTATATAAACCAGAGTTATTGTGACAGGAACCAAAAAAGTGATTTCTTTTGATACATGTGTAAAACCTTCTATAGTTATAAGGGAAATGAAGAAACCTTTTTGTTAATATCCCGTTATATATCAAACATGTTATTAATAGAATGATGCCAAGCCAACTTTCCGACGCCACATCAGACGCGAGGGAGAGCGTTGTTTCATCGACCTGAACATGGAGATAAGGGAGAGCCCGAGCCGGGTTAGGCTCCAGAGTCCCTGAGTGCCAAGAACGGTTCAAGAAGTAGTTCGTCTCCTAGACGTATATTTAATACCGTTTGGTTCATTTTACATTATTAATAAAGTATTTATTTCGTGTTCATTGTGTTATAACTCGAGCGTCGTGAAGGAATTCTACATATTATGAATATTTATTTTAGTCCTTTTTCTTCAACTTCTATATTAAATTATTGGTAATTATATGTTTAAAAGATATCATTGAAATTAAGAAATCAACCCATTTTAAAGGAACTGTAAGCTTATTTTCGAGTAACGCACCATGCAAAATGGGCAAAGCACGATTCACAACGGTACCCTTAAAACATTGACATCTTTGCATGGTTGGTCACTTGAAATCATAAATTTTTATTTGATATAAAGAGTATTGTTCCTAATATCCCAGTATATGCTGCAAGCAGTGTACTGTAGCTCACAGCTGTTTGAATATGTTTTACCATCTGTTCCACAAACCAGTTCTTCCAGTTCTCTGACACAACTGACACATGCACCATTGTTAAGACTGAAAATCAGTTAAATATAAATTAAACTTCATCTATGTACTTCTTTTTTAAATTCTAATAAAAATAACAGGTTATGACAATTTTTAGGGTAAATTATTCAATTTGTTTACTTCAGAAGTATGGATGCAAAATAAAAATAAGTGTCAATTACACTCTGTACATTAGCCAAAAAGGGGGGTTACTTGTAAAAAATGTAGTTTACCTATCATCAGGAATTAAACCAAGAACTAAAGTTGAAACTTCAATTGAGCTATCAGATAAATTAGGAGTAGGAGCTTCATGTGAGTCATCAGGAAGATCATCAGTTGGAGACTCATTGGAGCCATCTGGAGTAGGTGCTCCATATAATGATTGAAGGGGCACAGACAAAGATCCTTCATGTGAGCCATCAGGAATATCATCAGTTGGAGACTCATTGGAGCCATCTGGAGTAGGCGCTCCATATAATGATTTAAGGGGCACAGACAAGGATCCTTCATGTGAGCCATCAGGAAGATCATCAGTTAAAGACTCATTGGAGCCATCTGGAGGAGGCGCTCCATATAATGATTGAAGAGGCACAGAGAATGATGCTTCATGTGAGCCATCAGGAAGATCTTCATGGGCTGTCTCGTCAAGGGAAGGTGGTGGATTAGCTTTATTTAAGTCATCTGGAAGAGGAGCTCCATATAAGGATTGCAAGGGTTTGAAAATTGAAGCTTTATTTGAGCCATCAGGAAGGGGTTCATGAGATGAATCTGCCAGAGGCGCTCCATATAAAGATTGCAGTGGTGTGGAAATTGGAGCTTTATTTGGGCCATCAGAAAAGTCTTCATAAGATGAATCTGCCAGAGGAGCTCCATATAAAGATTGCAGAGGTGTGGAAATTGGAGCTTTTTTTGAGCCATCAGGAAGGTCCTCAAAAGATTAATCTGGAAGAGGAGCTCCATACAAAGGATGAAGAGGTGAAAAAATTGGAGCTTTATTTGAGCCATCAGGAAGGTCTTCATAAGATGAATCTGCCAGAGGCGCTCCATATAGAGATTGCAGAGGTGTGGAAACTTGAGCTTTATTTGAGCCATCAGAAAGGTCTTCATGAGATGAATCTGCCAGAGGAGCTCCATATAGAGATTGCAGAGGTGTGGAAATTTGAGCTTTATTTGAGCCATCTGAAAGGTCTTCATGAGATGAATCTGCCAGAGGAGCTCCATATAGAGATTGCAGAGGTGTGGAAATTTGAGCTTTATTTGAGCCATCTGAAAGGTCTTCATGAGATGAATCTGCCAGAGGAGCTCCATACAGAGATTGCAGAGGTGTGGAAATTGGAGCTTTATTTGAGCCATCAGGAAGGTCTCTAGAAGTATCTACATAAGTTGCATGTAAGCTGAAAGCAGAATCTGAAAGAGGAGTTTGAAGAAAGGCAGAGGAGAGGTCACTAGAGCTACCTGGAGAACCTTCAAGAGGTGCAGCATACAGAGTTTTAGGAGGTTCCAGCTGGGTTTTCAGGATACGGGGAGATAACGTTTTCCTTTGTGTTAGGAGGGCTCCTTGAGAGATTTCTGTTGGATTTGATGAAGTTGCTGGATGATTATCATCACGAGAATGGAGATTGGCATGATGATGATGATGACCATGAGATCCATGATCCTGTTGTTGAGATAAACTGTTCAGAAGAGATCTTTCTACCCTGTTTTTATGATGAAACCCTAGAAAAATATAATGGTTTTACTGTCTTCTAGAGCATTTAAGCTAAAAATGTTTAAATTTTCAAATTACAAATCTTTTCACAGTTTGCTTGCAGATGCATGTAAATATCAAATTTTCAATGATAATCGAAAGCTGTATTTACTATTTTTAAAATAAAACTTCTCATAAATACAGTTTTTTGTTTAAAATATTTGTTTAATTGTTTATAACTTTTTCTATAGGGAGGAAGACTGGGTTTTAATTGGAGTTTAACTGTTGCCATTTTTTTTCTAAATTGGTTCAATATTTTTTCAATTATAGCCTCAAAATAGTAAAAATATTTCGTTAATGATTAACATTCCAAATTGAGAAAATGTTATAGGAAATATTTAGATTTTTAGACAAAGCTGGGTTTTTAAGTATATATATACAGGGTTTCCCACAGACAATGAGACTGAAAAGACGACCCAAGACTATGGCGATTTGAAGCTTGATTTGTGGTTTCTGCATTCAATTCAGTATATTGATGGTTTACTAAATGATAAGCACCAAAATAAGCCAATTTTGGGCTACAGGGAACCCTGAATGCAAGAAAAAAAAACTTAGCAAATTCTATATAATTGTCTCTAAAAGTCTCATCTTTTGTGGGTAACCCTGTAGACACTAGATAGGTGCTTGTTACATATATCTTTTATCTTTAGAACTGCACCTGAACATTTTACATGGAGTTGAGGCAGGAGGAAAAGTATGTTTCGCCACATTTTCCCGCCTTAATTAATAAATCTATTATGTAATAAATAATTTTTTAAATGTTTTGACGATTAATTAAAGGACATTTCTATCCAAAATTTTAAGTAATTAAATAAAATTCACATTAATATGTTTAAACCCATATTTAATGAGCAATTATATGGCAGTTCACATATTTGGAATTTGAAACTTCTGGGTCATTAATTTCTCTCTCTCCGTTTGTGTGACTGATCATAACTCATTATAACCGATTTGCCTCAAATTTTGAGTGAAACCTCGGTAGGACCACGATAATGTTCTTAGCTCATGGTTTAAAAATCCTATGTTCTGTTAAGTTGACTTTTATAGATAAAGTTTTGTTTCCAGGCTAAGCTGGTTGCCCAAGCAGTTTGTTTATACACTTCATATGCATGCTTGGATAAAAAAGAATATTACTCACAAATCGGATTATTCTGATTTTTGCAAGGTTATAATGCAAGGGAAGTTAGTTGCAGTTGCGTACATATTGAAATCAGTTCTCTCTGGGCGGAATTTGTAAACATCAGTGTTAGTTTAGTATCCGAGAAGGATAAAAGCATTGAATTTTGATAATTCACATAATAGTTTCCTATGAATATAAATATAATCTGAATATAAATTTTTTATTTGAATGATGGATCCCATGTCAGGTTTTGACATCCATCCTGTGTTTACAGTACCGCAAGACAGTACACTGCAGTACATAAAGATACGTACACCTCTGAAATAACATTCCTTGCATTATAACCTTGGATTATCGCATCATTTCAAAAATATCTTACAAATGGCGTTTCATTAAACAATATGTACATTGTACATCATAAGTTATAGACAATTTCTTAACAAAGGTTTGTTTTTACATAAAATTAATGATAAGCAGCTGACCTATCTGTTGAAGTGCCCAACAACAACTGTAGTCTCCAAGTAAAATCCTATCGTGATTACAATTCTTAAATTCGCATTCAAATCCGCGAAAAATTCGCTGGTTATTAAATATTGTAAAATTGAGAAATTATTCAACGCATCATTGTGTTCAACATTCCTCCGGCTAAATGTACGCTTGAGAATTTCATAAAATTCTAAAAACACAACTTAGCAAGGGCATCTACGTGGGGGTGGACTGCGACAAAATAAAATTAATGCCTACGGTCATCTAAAGGGTTACCCACAAAGGATGAGACTTCAGAGACGATTGAACGGAATTTGTTTAGTCCGTTTTCTTGTATAGGTCAAAACTAGCATATTTCACTGCTTGACCATTTAGTAAACCATCAAAATACTCAATTAAATGCAGAAACCAAAAATCAAGCTTTAAATCGTCACATTTTTAGAGTTTCGGATCGTCTTTACAGTGGGTAATAGATATGAATTAAACCCACGTTATAGATCAACTGAATAAATTCTTTAAAATCAAAAATCTATTTTTAGGGCATTCAATGCAATAATTTTTCTGTTACAACAGTTTATATACAGGGTTACCCAAAAAGGATGAGAAACTGGAGATGACTAAACTGTCTGTTTTCTTATAATAATGATTTCCTGCAACCGTAAACATGTTTATTTCTTTGTCTGATCATTAGGTAACATTAGTAATATCTATACTAGACCGAAAATTCAATTAAACTTTGAGATACATATTTGAAAAATTTTAGGTCGTCTTTACAGTTTCATCCTTTGTGGGTAGCCCTGTAAGTGTACTTTTGTACATAACCAAGCTGTTAATATGTTTAGTTCTATATATTGTCCTTTATAACTAGAGGCGTATTCAGGGGGAGGCTAAAAGTAAAAGTTTGTTAACTAGATCGACCCCCACCACCACTTTAAACACTATACAATATACATATATACTAGGTTGTTTTTAATTTTCAATCGACAGAAACAATCTCGAGAAATAATAATTGTTTTAAAACATTTTTAAAAAAGTTAATATTTGCAAATTATCTTTTTTCCATCTCATAATCTAAGTTCGCTTCCCTTTTGTCCATTTGTCAGCCCATTAAATTTTTTTAAAATCATCTTTTTCGTTTGTTTATTTTCTTGTGGTTTTTAACATCGATTTTGATGGTATTATAACGTTAGAACTGACAAGGGTCAACCTAGACCGAAATATATTTTCAATAAAATGTTGAACTGACATCTACTTTTTTTTCTCTATAGAGGTTTGGTCCATCACCATAAATGAATTATAATTCAATTTGAAAGTATTTAAATTATCAGATTGGACATGGTACATTGCCCAATAATGCACATATCCTTACACATATTTCTGAGAATTAATATGTACTTAACTAATTAATTAATTAATTCAATCAGATTGGACCATGGTACATTGCACAATAATGCACATATCCTTACACATATTTCTGAGAATTAATATGTACTTAACTAATTACGGAATGGTTTGGTATTCCGTAAATTCACCTTAATTACGTAAAACTAGACTTTCTTTCGCATACGTAATTAGCACGTAATTTCGCGTAATGCTCCTCCGTAAGTGAAAGAAAGTATTACGCGTAATTACGTTAACGTAATTACGACTAGAAACCCTATCAATCAATCAATAACGTTTTTTTTTTAATGAAAATTATGAAAATAATAAGACCTCTGAGATTACACTTCTAGACCATCATACTAATTTTAATGAGGATACAATTAGTATATTCCTATGATACTCACAGGAACTTAACAAATGGACTAGGTAAAATTATTTATAATCTTGGAATAGGTATTTCCTAACATTTGAAGTAAAATAAGATTTAGAAAAATTAAAATATCAACATCAAATTATATTTTCTTTCAAAAAGATTTGACAAGAAGAATGATAAAAGATCCAGAAAATCTGTAATGAACAATCCTACTTTAGTTATTATACTAATATCTAACAAGAGTTTTATGGATTTTCTAGTTCAAAGCTGAGACACCTAGTGGCAGAATTGTGAACTACGAAGACGATGTTCAGTCTACAACTGTTAAGGTTTTTATCAATAAAGTAACGGGAAACTAATTTCTAATTCAAGGAAATTTAGTAAAAAAGGAAATTTAGGACCTTTTTAAAATTTTTTCTCCTTATTAATAGATTGTTTTATGTGTCGATCTTCTTAATATCAATGTAAAAATGACAGGGTGTCCCAAAAACATGGGAATTAAATGTCAACATTTACATCGTCTATTTGTTCCCATCGGGATAATTACATAAACACAATTTTGTATGTATCGTTGTACGTATCCTAAATTATATCAATCAAGATTAACAGTTGTTCTAGTATTTATTTATGTTCCGGAAGTTCCGGAATTCAAAGCAGAGACAGCTTTTGGCAGAAAGGTGAACTTCAACCTTGGCAGCTGTACAATATACAGAATAAGACGAGTATTGAATTTCGAACAATCGACAAATAACTGAAAAGAAATGCTTTTTAGTTCTGGGGAAATTTTTTAACTTTTTGAATTAATTTGATTTCCATTTCACAAATGGAAAAAGGAGAGATTAAATTATTTATAATTCAATTCTTCGTATCTATAAAAATACAATTTATGAATGAATAGCAGATTCATATCATTCCTGCAGTTTAAGGAACAAAGCGCAATGCGTACTGCTATAGAGTCAAAATAAAAAAAGCTATTTACGGTAATCGATGCATACACATTACAACTAGGGTTTCCAATCGGAATTCCGTTGCACGCAATGGCCCGGAATTGAAGGCAATTTGGTTGCTTCCGCTTGCGCCATTTCATTGCGCTCAATTACGCTATAATTACGAACAAGGAAGCAATTAAATATTCAGGGAATTGCTTGCAACGGAATTGCTTTTCCATCTAAAAATCAATAATTTTAACTGTGACTTGCAAATTTTTGCAGAATCAGAAGATGGAAATATCTCTGTAGATTTTAAAATGATCAAGGCCTGAGTTTTAACAATTATTTTAACAGTTTTCAAATTTTAAAGTTTCTTGTGGTTAAGCTACTAATGAACAATTTAATAGGATACATTTTTAATTTTTTCACATTTGATGAATATTACAATGGAAACATTTTTGGTTAAATTGTAAGGTTTATGTTATAGTTAAAATTAGATATTTTGGTACGGTGAGAACCAGAAAACAGAAAGACAACATCACTGTGTATTCGATGTCGTTACAAAGCAAAAAAAAATAATTAGTAACTTATTAAATCACTTGTTCAGTTTAATGGGCTTGCGTGGGTCTAAAATGTCGTCTTTCTATGCCAGAGTTTGCTAGTTATCATGCTGCAAATGGATAATATAAATCAAAAGATTAAGTTTAATATGTTTAGCTCTATATATTGTCTAATTGTACTTTATACACTGGAGGCGTATTCAGGGGGAGGCTATGGTGGCTCAGCTCCCCCCCCCCCCGGATCAGTGAAAACTATGAATTCTGTTAGATAAAATATCAAAGGTTTACACCATCAGGTTGCAAATGACCATTGAAATTAGGTAACACAACGCTAATTTCGAATTCGTCTCCTAATTCCCATGTTTGTATGAACACCCTGTATAAAAACAAAACAGTTCACAATGAAGCATCACATTTAAGATTAAATATAGTGAAAATGACATGTTTTATTTTTATCACACTGCATGTCAATTTGTTTGATGCAAACAATGTATGACTTAAAGGAAAAATGTCAACAAAACATGCTAGTGACGTCAACAAAGAACATGAAGTCAACAAAGAACATGAAGTCAACAAAGAACATGACGTCAGCAAAGATAGTGACGTCAACATACATGCTGACGTCAACAAAGATTATGACGTCAAAAGACGAACTATTCTAGTTTGACCACCATCAAGATTCCAGTGACTCCAGCATACGGGTGAAATCAGCCTTAAAATAGCAGAACACATTATCTATTTATGCGAACTTAGAAAAAATTACCCCTATTTAAAAGGATGCCCATGATTTAGAGTACAATGGTACAGTGGTCTACGTTTATGTCAATAGTACAATGAATACAACTTTTGGTAAACTAAGTGAACAAAGTGAAGCTGTTAATTGACAGCTTCTTGTTTCCATGTTTATGGGTATTCAACGCAGCTTGAAAGCTTGGTTGAAACCAAAACATTTTAATCGAAAGTCGTCTCCATTGTATTGATATATACGGCGAAGACTTTAGATTGTTAAGAAAACGTTGATAAAAAAGTGACCTCTTGTTAAGCGGTCTTTGATGATACAGTCGGAATAAAAAAAAATTGAATTGTTTTGAAGATCCTTGAAATATCTTGAGATCTAAATTAGCTTCAGTAGGACCCGTAAAACTTTGGAATAGGATTAGACTAAAGTTATAATTTGAATGAAAATGCAGAAGACACGGATATATTTCATTTAATATGTTGAATTCCAAATTATATACAGGGTGTCCCCAGTGGCATATATAAGAGGGAGTTATTGGGGTTATTTACCCCCCCCCCCCTCAAGATTCCTGGGGGTAAGAATCACCCCTCCACTAGAATGTTGGTGGTAATTACCCACCCATAGAAGTTTGGGAACATAAACATCCTCGTTTAGAAACTTAATCTCCATTCGATCCATGTCCATGATTACCATAAGAGGAAAAATGTAAAAAAAAATGTTTCCGCTTCGCGCAGATAATTTTACTCATCAACTTTTACAAAGTAACAGATAAATACCAAAAAAATGGATTTTTTAATTCAGTAGCGTACTTGCACGATATGTCAAATTAGGTATAAAGCTCTTCAGGGGAGGGGGCAGGCAAAAAGAAAAAGTTCAGAAAAAACGCTCTTAATCATCGTAAAATTAAAGAAAAAGAATAAAATAAAAATTTCACCTGAAGAAGTTCTTGATCCAAATTTTTTCCAATTAAAACCAGTGTGGTCTTACCATCCGTGGTTCTAGGGAATCAATCAACCAATCAATAACGTTTGTTTTTAATGCTTTAATGTTATGAAAATAAAAAGAGCTCTGAGATTACATATCTCGACCATCCCTAACTAATTTTAATGACGATACAAAGTATATTCCTATGATAATCACACATGAACTTAACAAATGAATACAACACGGTATTGTTTGTATTTCTAATAATAGCTATTTTCTAACATTTGAAGTAAGATAAGATTTAGAAAAATTAAAATATCAAAATCAAATTATATTTTCTTTCAAAAAGATTTGACAAGGGGAAGAATGATAAAAGATACAGAAAATATGTAATGAACAATCTTACTTAAGTTACTATATTAATATCTAACAAGAGTTTTATTGATTTTCTAGTTCAAAGCTGAGACACCAAGTGGCAGAATTGTGAACTACGTAGATGAAGTTTCATAACTATACAGTCTACATCTATATTGTTTATATAGTTTGATCCAAGTTTTTCCCAAAATAAACCCAATGTAGCCTTAATTACAATCCATCGTACTAGGGGATCAATCAATCAACCAAATATTTAAAAATGGGGAAAGGGTTTTTATTCATGCATCACGAGAGGAGTAAGGCCAACCACAACCTATCGTCCGAGCCACATTCTCCTCATTTTCTCGTCCCAGCCTACTCTTAATATCCTCGTCCTTTGATTATTATGTGTTCTTAAAGTTTCCAATTCTTAAAAATAACCTATTTTTATATGTGCCTGTGTAATACAGGTGGTTTTTTTTTAAACTAGTTGAACGAGTTGAATTCTCCATAAATAATTCAGTGCTCATACTTTGACTTAAAACCTATGGAATGCTTCGTGGATTTTCCAGTGAATAACTGAGACACCTAGCGGCCGAAACGTGAACTACCAACATTACACCTACCATAGACAGCAGAATGCTCAATTGAATATTAATGTATTCGATTGATAATATATCTAAATCCAACATTTCAAAAAATAGCCTGGATACCCAGCTTTGCCTGAAAATTTGGAATTTCTCAGTTATAATTTGATTGTTTTCCTGCTGTTGATGGGATATGTATCATATGTATCCTGGACACCCTGTATCATCAGCTGTCCAACGTCAAGCTGTATCACGCCCTGCACAAAATAATAATAATTATTAGCACCCCAGTACCATAAACTTGCTGTATACTATACCTTGAGTCCTTAGATCTTTATATATGAATACACTATACCTTTAGTCTAACGATCTTTATATTTGGATATACTATACCTTGAGTCTATATATCTTTATATCCGAATACACTATACCTTGAGTCTATATATCTTTATATCCGAATACACTATACCTTGAGTCTATATATCTTTATATTTGGATACACTATACCTTGAGTCTATATATCTTTATATCCGAATACACTATACCTTGAGTCCATATATTTTCATATCCGGATACAGTATACCTTGAATCTATATATCTTTATATCCGAATACACTATACCTTGCGTCTTTATATCTTTATATCCGAATACAATATACCTTGAGTCCATATATCTTTATATCCGAATACACTATACCTTGAGTCTATATATCTTTATACCCGGATACACTATACCTTGAGTCTATATATCTTTATATCCGGATACAGTATACCTTGAGTCTATAGATCCTTATACCCGGATACACTCCGTCCCAGAGGAGAGCCTGGAGAAACCTCTCAACCTTACTCTTGGTAGTGGAGGAGTAGAAGAGAGAAACTGTTCCTATTCCACTGGTTAGGTGAGGGGTTCCTAGATAGAAAATATTTACTATTATTTTATAAATTTTACTAAAGAAAACTGGCTACTTTTATCAGAGAATAAAGAGAGGTGTAAAGCCCGGTGAATTTTTAAAATAAAATCTATTTTTTTACCATGAGAGATTAGTTTTTCTGGTAGCTCTGCCACCTCTCCACTATATGCCTGGACCAAAATGTTTAAAATGGCTTTTTTTAAATTCTGTGATGGTGATGAACCAAACCTCCGTAGAGTAAAAAAAATCAGATGTTAATTCAACATTTTATTGAAAATATATTTCGGTCTGGGTTGACCCTCGTCAGTTCTAACTATATAATAATTATCAAAATCGATAATAAAATGTTGAAAAACCCAAAAAAAGGATAATATTATTTTTTAAAATTTTTTCTAAAAGAACCCTTCAGTAGGACCCTGGAGGAGTAATTTCAAGTGACCTTACATGCAAAGTTGGCTTGAAGCCGAATTCACAACGGTACCTTTAAAAGCTGAGTCTAATCAAAAATGTATTTGGCATCAAAGTTTTGATTTTTAAAACTGTTTTTTTTTCATTTGTGGTTTCTTGTGGTGACTTGTGCATTTCTATTGCAGGGAAAAATATAAGAATTATCAGAATTAAACACGTTTAAACCTGAAAACGACAATACCTTCCATTTTATTGATCAGATAAATGTTTCAAGGGTACCGTTGTGAATCGGGCAAAATATCATCTTTAATAGAGGGGTCCCTTTAAATATGTGAATAATAAGAAAAAAATGCATTTTTAAGTATGTGTCAACGAAAGAAATATTTTGAAACCTCCAAAAATAACGGTTGTGGGAATATTTCTCCCCATATGTTTAAAATGATAGTATATTTCGATGATGAACACGCAAAATATCGAAAAAATGGGGTTTTCGAGTAAAAAATGGTTTTTGTGCATTCCAAGCCGATTTCGTGTCGATTTTTTACAACCATCATACTTAATCATGTTTTTACTCAAATTTTTTATATTTAATATTTATATAAGGAATGCGGGAAAAACAATGTGTATAAAACACGAATTGCGTGATTGCAAGGTTTCATCCATTCAATGATTATTCACCGTAAAAGTAGAATCTCAAATATTTGGATTTTTAAATTTTACAACGGAAATGATTTTGCAAATATTCAAAGAAAAATGATTTAAATAATTTGGTTTCCTTAAGATCCAAAATCTGGTTTAAGTCCACTACGCCCTGCTCACATTTCACTAGTCTAGAACATGACATAATAAGATAAAATAAGATAAAATATGATAAAATAAAAAAGATAATAAATAACATGAAAAAGATAAAATACGATGAAATAAAATGAATAAAGTAGAATACTGTAAAATAAATAAAATTAAAATAATAAGATAAAGATAAGATAAAGATAAGATAAAGATAAGAAAAAGGTGAAGATAAAGATAAGATAAAGATAAAGATAAAGTATGATAAGATAAGATAAGATAAGATAAGATAAGATAAGATAAGATAAGATAAGATAAAGATAAGATAAAGATAAGATAAAGATAAGATAAAGATAAGATAAAGATAAAGATAAAGATAAAGTAAGATAAGATAAGATAAGATAAGATAAGATAAGATAAGATAAGATAAGATAAGATAAGATAAGATAAGATAAGATAAAATAAGATAAGATAAGATAAGATAAAGATAAGATAAAGATAAGAAAAAGGTGAAGATAAAGATAAGATAAAGATAAGATAAGATAAGATAAGATAAGATAAGATAAGATAAGATAAGATAAGATAAGATAAGATAAAATAAGATAAGATAAGATAAGATAAGATGAGATAAGATGAGATAAGATAAGATAAGACATAAGACAACCAAAGAACCAACCAACAAGATCTTTTACCTGGAAGCACTGTTAATACTGCTAACAGTTAATTCAACCTTCTTAAGTTCTTGACTTGAAACCAGGTCAAGCTAAAATTAGAATTACTTATAACAAAATAAAACAATTTATGAAAAAGTATAAAAAAAATATAATTTTATAAAATAATGATTGACAGCACTAATAACTTGTAAATCATGGAGATAATTCAACTATTGAGAATCTTTTTAAGAGATTTTAAAGAACTATAATTCTTTCCTTATTCAAAATGATAACGTCAGCTGTAGCTATCTGCTGAACACATTCATTAACCGCTCCTTCAGGTCTACTTTCAGCTAGTTGGGAGATACAATACTTGGAGTCGACTAGGGTAACTATACCATCTAGATATAGGTCGCTACCTATTCAGTCACAATTCATTTTTACATTTGTACGTAGAAAATGGGTTGTGTTTACGTCCTGGTGACGTCGAAACGACCTACAGATTACTTTGACTGGATGTGACGTAACAGATGTCATTTATAGATACATCACTTTTGTCCTTATTTACAGATACTGTAAGAGTAATTTCAAGTGAATCATTGCCCGATTCACAACAGTACTCTTTAAACCTTTGCCTGAATTATTTTTAAATACTTGTTTATAATTATGATACCCGATTATTTTCAATTGTGGTTTCTTTACAAAAATGACTTGCACAATTCTAGTGCAGGAAAACAGGAAAAATTAACAGAATTAAACACTTTTAACCCTAGAAAAGAAGACAACTCCTCCACATTATTGATCAGATTAAGGTATCAAGGGTACCGTTGAGAATCGGACTTTGCCATTTTTGGTTGGAGGGTCATTTGAAATTATGCTTACAGTCCCAATTTAAACATCCTCTGGTTTCTATAGTATGAGAGGAGGGTGGCTATCTAGACAAAGGCCTATATCAAAATTGATCACCACTTAGTGAATCTGTAAATTTAATTGTAAATTTGAAAATATTGAACATTTATTTTTATCTGTTTTTTTTATGTTTTAAGTGGCTTCACTTAAAATAAGAAGTCTTATTTTTTACCAATTGTGTGTCCTAAATTTTTTTTGTGCTATGCTAATTTTTATTCTCTTAGTAAATGAAAACTGAGGAAAGTAGCACCTATTAGCTGATACAGTTTTACAAGCATCTCTCATTTGTTGAAGCTGTACCAATCAGAATCCAGCCAAAGACTTGATCAAGTGTCCACAAACGTCAGCTTACGAAAGTCGGACTTAACTTTTAAAATCTCAGCTCAGATTGGAATATACAATTGCTATATATGTACACTGTAGAGTGTACAATGTGCTACTCCACTGATAGGTAGATAGGAAAAGCAAAAAGTTAAGATATAACATTAAATCTAAATGAATTGCCTAGCTCGTCATCTAACCAGAAAATACTGGCTACGGGTCCTGGATCAGCGATTCCTGTAGTTTCCAGTAAAATGTAATCAAATCTTCCCTTCTTCTCCATCAACATCTCTATCGCCTATATCATCATCATCATCATCATCATCATTATCATCATCATCATCATCATCATCATCATCATCATCATCATCATCATTGTCAACATCATCATTATCAATATTACCATCATCAACATCAACATCATCACTATCAATATTACCATCATCATCAACATCAACATCATCATTATCAATATTACCATCAACGTCAATATCATCATAAAATGGAAAAAAATCTTATTTCATTTCAACATTGACATTAAAATGGGTTTAAAAATTTGACCTGAAATAACCATGAAAAATTGTAATTTCTGTTTTTTCTAAATTAGAACAGCTAATAAAAATGTCTTTTTTATGTGTGACAAAAAACGTTTCAGACTATTTGACAGGTGAACTGCTAGATCAAATCAAATCAAATAGATTGATTGCTTGATGAGTTGATTGTTCCTGCCTTAACCCCGTTATCCTTAACCGAGCAGCATAGACACCCGTTCCTTAGTTCCAACCACTCGGAGAAGGTTTCTCCGTTCTCTCCGACCGCGAGGCTTTTTTCGTCGGCGCTACCAGCTCCGAACTCGTTCAAGATCACGGCAATCCGTTTCCCATGCTGGACCTGAAAGAGTATGTCCGTGTAATTAAAAGCGACACTCCATCTATAAAGTTGCACATCTTATTCATAATGGTGCCCTTATAAGCGTTGTAGCTGATTAAGTATAAATTATATATCCAAGAAAAAACTTTCGAAATCGACATTTCTTGTTTAAGAAGAAATGGAGATATATTCGAAACTAGAATTTTTCAGGCGAGGAAAACAAGTTATTTTCCACATTATTGATCAGATTAAGGTTTCAAGGAGGTACCGTTGTAAATAGGGAATGCCCCTTTCTAAATGGAGGGTAACTTGAAATCAAGACAAAAGTCCCTTTCAAGAAACTGTCAAAGTATTGCCAAGTTTTATGTCTGATTCACAAGGTAACCCCATCAATCTTTCCAGAGAAATAATCCATTTTCAGATAGAAAATTAGGATATCTTCATCATTCAAAGCTGGTTACGTTATAAATTGGAAATAAAAAATTTGGTGATAAGGTAATTTTAAGTTTTTCTTCAACGTTTTAAAATTTAAATAATTTTCTCTCTTAACTTTAGTATATATGTGAGCAATGTTGTTTTTCCAGCACCTAGCTGTCCAGTGATTATAGTAACAGGAACCTTCGCTCCCGTACCTAGATACAATACTAGAGTAAACCTTCATACCAAGATACAATACTAGAGTAAACCTTCATACCTAGATACAATACTAGAGTAAACCTCCACACCTAGATAAATATTAGAGTAAACCTTCATACCTAGATATAATACTAGAGTAAACCTTCATACCTAGAAATAATACTAGAGTAAACCTTCATACCAAGATACAATACTAGAGTAAACCTTCATACCTAGATATAATACTAGAGTAAACCTTCATACCTAGATATAATACTAGAGTAAACCTTCATACCAAGATACAATACTAGAGTAAACCTTCATACCTAGATACAATACTAGAGTAAACCTTCACACATAGATATAATACTAGAGTAAACCTTCATACCTAGATACAATACTAGAGTAAACCTTCATACCTAGATATAATACTAGAGTAAACCTTCA